TGACAGTAGAGCTAGCAGTAACTGGAGGACCGACATGTCTCTTAGCGATGTCACAGCAAGTGCTGAGCACACTGCAGGAATTAGCATTTTTGGAAAAACAGAGATCATCCTCGCTGACTAGCCCTGCTCTGGGACTGCTCAGCTGTTTATCTGCTGCCACTTATCACTGCATCATCGCATCAGTTTCGGTTACATCTTATCCAATTCAGGATTGCAGTGGCCAGGCAGCACTGGGCACTGGGATACATGCTGGATGGGATGCCAGACCATCTCAGGGCACACACCAACACACACACACACTCACACCAGGGCCAGTTTACAGAAGCCAATTAACATACCAGCATGTCTTTGAACTGTGGAAGGAAACAAAACCCCTCGGAGGAAACACAGGGTGAACATATAAACTCTGTGCAGATAGCACCCCAGGAATTAAACCCAGGACCCCAGCAGTGGTTAGCATTGTTGTGAGGCAACAATGCTAACCAATGCACCATTGTGCCACCCACTCTTGGGAAACCCTACAGTTAACTAGTGAAGTGACCCAAATTTAAACTTCAGTCTTTGGGTCATTGAGCACAACCTGCCTTGAGTTGGCATCCTTGCTAATTACAGTAGGTCACTCAGGAGCTTCCTACTATATTTATTTTAAACAGTACAAAAATGACCTAGAATACTAAAATAGTACTAGAATAGGGTGTGCTTGCGTTGGAAAGGGAACAGTTGAATATAATTGCTAAAAAGTGGACTCTCATTTCAAAGTGAAGGTAAAAATGCATGTTTATGTTTAAAGGAGAATATTGTTAGGGACTGAAGTACCAGCGTTAAAGAATGAAAGTGTTTCGGTATAGTTAAGAAAAAAAATCCTTGGTAATTGGCCATTATTGTTGCTATTTGAGGATTAAATCTCCACTCTCAAAGAAAACACCTCAAAAAGAGTGTTGCAGTTTCTTCATGATTATTAAATCTTCAAAGACCTGCTGTCAGGTACAATTTCGCCAACCAAATCTTAGTGTCAGGGCTGGATGGTCGCTTTAACAGCTTGTTCCCTGTACATTCTGTTACTTTTTGTTAGATTTACTACTTGCTTCTTGTGGTGGTAGAAAGACTCGTGCCTTCCTTCTAATGTTTCTAATGCTGTTCAATGTTCAGTTATGTTTTCTTAGAATTCCATGCCACAGTGAAATTACATCATGATGCTATAACACTTCATGTGGTGTAGCTAAAACAACACAATGAACGGCCCTTTCTTAGCATAGGGTCTGAGGTTGGGAGTTATAATAGAAGTTTCCATTCTTTATATGCAATGCTGTCATCATTTTATCTTGACATATGGTACCATTTTCAAGATCATCTTTACTTTATATTATGCATGCACAAAGACCAGCTTTCATTAGGATTGCTATATTGATTTGTTTTACACTTGCCTACAGTAACGTTTCAATTTATTCTGTAGTTGTTTGGTCCATCAGGTTGCTTGTGTGTGTTGTGTGAGTATTATTTGCTGTGGTATAAAAACAGTTTCAAGATTCAGCATATATCATTTTCATTGTTACTGTAAGTGGAGATACTGGAGCATTGCCAAAGGAAATTGACATACATTTTAGAACAGTAGAACTAATTTGCCTTGTGCTTTTTGGGTTTGACCCAGTCAATACTTTATGAAAAATGAACCATGGTGTGATGTTTGTCTTCAGTTGTTCAACAGATAATGAGTTGTTATACCCTCTTCAGAAACAGGTACTATAGCACTTAAGTTGTCTGAAGGCATAGTGATAAACTGTGAATTCATCAGTTCTGAATGAAGAATAGTTTTGAATGGTTTATAGCTTTGTTTTGTGTACCCAACCTCTCATATTGTACTGTAATGTTTTCTTTTAAAATCCCTTTATCAGAAATTTAAATGATTGTTGTAGCCCTTTGCCTCTATTGTGTCATAACACCGCTTTGCTTAAATATAGCAAGTTCTATTGTGATACTGTGAGATTATTTGAGGTAACAGTGATTTCATCCCTTTCATGAAAAAGATCTTGTCCTTTCCACTCTCTTTGTATTATTCTCTAAAACCCATTCTCAAATGAAGCCGTTTAAGGGTGTTGTGGCATTGTAGGTGGGTTTCATAAAATGAGATAAACACTTGGACTGAGTTCCAGCTCTGCATGCCTAAATAGTCAACTGTTTCCATTGAGATGTGAGAAAAGTGGGTCTTGCTATTCTGTCTTCAGGTGGAGATCTGTAGACACTCTTCTCCATTGAGTCTCCCTTACACATACTGTACCTGTACTTGTCAATTGATACGGTAACCAAGTTTCCAAATCTGGGCTTACAGATGTAGCAATTCCCGTACAGTAGGATTTTACAGTATCTGCAGAATAACGCAGTACGCGATTGGCTGTGCACTCAACCAGATAACAGAAAATCTTTTAACACAGAACATCTTTATTTTGACTGTGACAATATTTTTCTTCAACAACATGTGGAGATTGTTTTTTTGGCAACCCCAAATTTTATTTCGACATAAAAATGTTGTATAGTCACTGTACAGTATGCATTGTTTAAGTCTGAACTTCTCATGAAAAGCAGAACTGTCTAATTAGACGTGCAAGTCCACTTTGCTTACATTAGGTCAAATTCATCAGCAACAAATGTTTCACCTTTATTATGGTGGCATTGCTAACTTTAGTGAGAGATATGTAACAAGGGACATCATTCAAGTATATTATAGAGTTTGAAGGCAAAGCTTGAATCATGTGAATTGGCTGCTACTGTAACTTCTACTCCACCTATAACAGAATTAGAAGCCTGTTGAGATAGCTCATCTTTTCTGTCCTCTAACATAGAGAGATCTCATTAATATTTTTTCTTTTAATTAATGGGAGTTCCTTGTACTTAAAAGAAGTTAGCTGACCTTGCTTGGACATAGAAATTCTGATTGCAAGGGACACCAGGTGTTGTTCACATTGCTGGCTTCTCCCAGATTTAATGTCTTTGAAGTACTGAAGTATCTTCTGTTGAACATATCTGATGTGCCTGCATTCTGGCATGTAATCTTGTTGTCTGCCTTTTTGTGTTCCCCATAGCTTTATTGCTAAAGTTAATTGCCATTTTAATGTTATGGTTGTTTTGAACAGGCCAATTAAGTTTATTAAGCACCCTGTACTTACAGTATGTAAAACACTTTTTACAGGTTCTTCAAAAAATGGTGTGTTTTTTGACCAATTTAGAGTAGCTTGTGTAGGCAGCACAGTGGGTTCATTTACTAAAGCAGAGAAAAGCGACACAAGGCAGGGTGTTGTAATTTAGCTGTTGATGTTGTCAGAATGTGCTTTAGCACTGCTAGGATAGCGTAAATTGTGTTTCAGATTAAACGAAAACTGAATTGAAGAATAATTAGCACCTACCTTAGGGTATACAAGCTTGCTTATTTGTTCACACACCACTGAACTTGAGTCAGACTTTTGGAAATTTCTAATAAAAAGGAAGTTCTGAGAGTTATGCCATGGAGACCATGTGAAACAATAATTGCTTTTGTATTGCTGAGACAGGTTAATTTCCTTCTGTTCATGCTAATCATCATTCTCTGTGAGTCAGAGCAGAGGAAAGTGCTCCTCACATGAATTTTATATGCCTTACCTTTGACACTGGATGACTGATTTGCTTATTAACATTGCCTTAGACAAAATTGTATTTTTTGTCCCCTCAGGATCTGATTTTTAATAATTCAACTTATGATTAATACACTAGCACTAGATCTCTTAATTGTAGCATTCCTAAAATCATTTAAAAGGTTAACCCTTAGGCTTACCTACAGTAATATTAATTTATCACATGTAATCAACAGTTTGCGGCATTTGGGATCTGTGAAACTAGCTGTTAAATCCACGGTTGGTGTAAGTGTTATCATATGTAGCGCAATTAACGACAGTTGCTTTTTCAGCAGCTGGGCTGTCTGTCTGGGGGACTATCTTGAAAGCTGTCTGGCTTAAGATCTCAAATCTCTTATAACTGTATGATTTGCATGTATTGCCCCTGTTTTTGACATGAAGGGAGAGCTGTCCTTGTTAAAAAATACAAAACAATTAAAAGACATGTCACTTGTCACTGTGACTGTTGCTTTTTTCTGTGGGTCTGTGTATTGCTTGTAATGAAGGAATGGCGATAGCTGCTTACAGTTTCTGCAGTGCCAACAGGATTGAGCTGTGTGATGCCTAGTGATAAATGCATTAATTTAAATGCAGTGAGACATAGCAGGAAATCCCTAGGCAATAATGTAACTTTCAAAAGAATGGTTGCGAAGGTCATGACTACCTGCTTTTCTTTCCCTCTTTCCCTAAGCTTTAATTCTAACAGCCAACTTATTTTTCGAGGAGGCTCGGAAATATCACTTCTTCTAAACGTATTCAGTAAAGCATATTTTGGATTTGAACTTCTAGTGTTTGAATTTTTGTATTATTCTGCCTTTTTTGTGCAAGCACAACAGCTTGCTGCTAATTTGTGATTAAATGTGGAGACCAGATGACGCATTTGGGCCAGGTATTAAATGCCATTTTGACCTAAAGGTCAAGATGTTCTGGTAAAACCCAGGTACATTGATGTGCATAGACAGCTGGAGAAAAAATACTCATGTCAGATAAAAAAAGAAGGTTACCATCAATTAAAAACTGTGTCTTGCACAGAGTTGTTTTGGAGTTAGAAATATCAAGAGCTAAAACCTCACTGTAAAAAATAACAAAGTAGTAATGCTGTTCACCTATTTAAACAGGGAGTTAGTTGGTGTATGTATACAGTGCTGGCTAGTTTGGAGAAATGGTTATTGTATGAAAACCCCTTCAAATGAAGCTGCCAGTCAGATGTCATGGTAGAGTGGATAAGAGCCTACCTAACCCACCTCCCATAGGTGCTTGTTATTCCTTCTAGGTACCTTACTGCAAACACAGCAGAAGAATATGCTTTCAGCTTTTCACTAATTCTTTGTTTTCGGTCTTCTCCCCAATGTGTTTTAGAGTACGTTTAAATTCAAGTCAGAAAGTGACATTCACCTGGCGGAACACCACAAGCAGGTTCTTTATGATGGGAAGCTGGCCAGCAGTATTGCCTTCACCTACAACGCCAAGGCCACAGACGCACAGCTCTGCTTGGAGTCTTCCCCAAAGGAAAACCCCTCCATTTTTGTGCACTCTCCCCATGCTTTAATGCTGCAGGTTTGTGTTAGTTTCTTATTTCTGGAAGATAAATATGAATCTGTCTGTAACATTTGTTGAACTCGCTCGATTTGGAATAGCCAGTTCTGTGTTTTTTTTGTGGCCTCACACAGAGGATAATGAACAAGTGTAGGAAGACTCTTTTGACTCTCTCACTTTGGAAGCTCTTGTATTGTAATGCATCGCAGGCCCTGTAGGTCACAGGTACAGGAGGTTGCATGCCGATTGGAGAAGAGGCTTCTCTCCCAATTGTGTGCAAAGACTTGTGGAATCCAGATGAAAATGTATCAGTGACATGACCCTGGGTTGAGCCTGTAATCATAGAGGTCAACCTGCACTCAGCCTCCTTGGAAACCCCCTTGTGAAAGTTTTGTTTTCTTAGTAAAGGGCCCAGGTAACTGTGCAATTTTATTTGGACTATATTAACAATAATATTAATAATATTTGGTCTTTGCATAACGCTTCCTTTATTTTTATTTGAGAAAAATAAGGATGATTGTGGTGTAAGGCAATAAATGTTTAAACATTTTTTTGTTTCTGTAAGTAATACAAACATCTAATTCAGTTATTTTTTAAATTAATCTAAATATTCACACATGGAAACATGGCAGCACCAAGGATGTGTAAAAATAATCTAAAATGACAATTTCTTGGTTATTTTTTCTTCTTTTGGATGCTTCAAGTGGCTTGCAAGCCTTGCTGTTAAGAACAGATGAATGGTGAAAGGTTGTTGTGAAGTCTGCAAAGCAAACTTGTGTAAAAATATATCACACAAGTGAAAGCAAGCTTGCTTGAGCTGACATCTGCCTGTGGCCTCAAGCCAGAGCCCTTCAGAACCTGTTAATTCAAATGTAGACATTGTTTTTTTTCATTAGAGGGACAGATCGTATGATCTGAGCATTCTGATAAATTGTTGGATTTGTTATACTTGCTGTTTTTATTCTTTGTTGTTTCAAGAATTACCTATAATACAATTGTGTCGTCTGTTGTGCATGAATTTGGCTGTGCCCTAGTTATGACTCAAGAAGAAACAAGAATGTGACAAAATGAAACCAAAACAAATGGTTTGGGGAATAATGGAATCTTTTTTCTTTCAGTGCTTCAGACGAGGAAAATTGTGTTCATGTTTTAAAATGCTCTTTTATTCTCTATTCTAATTTGGGATTTCACTTCTTATTTTCTTTAAATCCAGATTTCTTTAAAATCTACGCTACCATGTTCATCTACAGTATGTTGTTACTAGCTGTCCACATGCAAACATTGTTTGCAGTTTATGATGTGTTTTGTGTGTAACATACAGCTGCTTTCTGTTTCCAGGATGTGAAAGCTATAGTGACCCACTCAATCCACAGTGCAATCCATTCTATTGGTGGGATTCAGGTCCTCTTCCCGTTGTTTGCACAGCTGGACTATCGTCAGCAGAATGACAGTCAAGTAGAAACCACTGTATGGTGAGTGGACAATGATTATTGATGTGGGCAGAGGTTGACACAATTTCAGATTCCAAATTTAATTTAGTTTGCCAAATTCAATTTCTGACTCTATATTAATGTGAATATTATTATGAGAAAAACAACTCATCCAAAAGTCATTTTGTCGCATTAAAACTTGGATCTACAATCTGATATCTAAATCTGTTAAGTGCCGAGACAATCTAAGCCAATTCTTGCTAGCTTTTAACTCAGTACAATTTGTAGCCAGTTCAATGAGGAAAATCGATGTGCTTTGTTTTCCTTTTCTGCGCTGGAAAAAGATTTTGTAGTTTTATCGTGCTTGAAATTGTTCTGTGCTAGAAAATGTTCTGTTGTCACAGAAGAACAGTACGACTTTTTACATGCTTTCATTTCAGGTAGAAATAGAAAATAAAAGAAATTAAAGTGGATTTCAAAAGCTCAATTGCTGTATGTGAAAAATATGTTAAAGCTGTTATGGCACCCGTGAGCATCATGCATATGCCCTCTATACCACTTTTTGCACACTACGAATCACACAAGACTAACAAATCTGTAATGATATTGAAAAACAAACATCCCGTACAATCTTTTGGATAGTAAAATTCTCTTCTAGATGATAAAAAGCAGTAATCAGTTTCTTGTATGAAGGGATGAAAGAAATCACACCTATTTTAGTCCATATACTGCAAATTTCTCTTTTTTAATCTGTATTTATGCATAATAGTTGAAAGGATTCTGCAGAAGACTGATTGTTCTTGTGTAGCATGTCAGTGGTGAAATTTGGCCTATTTGATGTAGCTGTTGAAGGCTGATTAAGAAGCACAAGGGATGAAGGTTATATTAATTCGGGGCCTTGCGATAATGTAGTTTTCTACCGTTACAAGTGTGAAACAAAAAGTGCTGACATAAAAGTAATATGTTCTGAAAATAGCATTTGCTTGCTTTAAGTGATTGGTTATAAAGAATTTAAAATGAAATGTGATAGAGATGAGGATATTTAGTCTTCTGTTTGCTCAGTGTACTGTCTAATAACACAGCTTAACCATTGTACCCATTTGTGAGTACTGCTTGTGTAAACAAATGGTTCCTTTTAGCTTCTCTGATTACTAAAAGAAGTAATTGCTTTTTTGCTTTCAGATACTTTTAAGATTCCTGTCTTCTCAGTGTATGTCAGTGGTTTACTGCAATACTCGTATATTAATGAATCATGCCAAAACATGCTGATCAAAAAGGATTTTGAATAGAAGAAAAAATCATCTTTTAATACATGTTTCTTGTACAATTTGTCCTTAATCCCCATTCTCTATAAGAAGCTTCCATCTGAATGTTTTGCTACCTTTTCAAGCTGCTGACTGTAACTGCTGTGTTTGCAGTGCCACTCTCCTGGCCTTCCTGGTGGAGCTCTTGAAGAGTTCAGTTGCTATGCAAGAGCAAATGCTGGGAGGAAAAGGTTTCCTGGTGATTGGTTATCTTCTGGAGAAGGTAGAGGTGCCCGGTCCATAATATCTTAAATAGACCCCACATAACACAGAAGCCCCATACTTGGCTGTTCAAGGAAATCCTGATCCTTTTTTTCCCCCCTCTATCGAACATTCAACCTTTTGTCATGCTGCTGAACACACGCGAAAACAAATACACAAAGTAAAGTAAACAGCCACAGGGGCTGATGTACTTCCGAGTCAAATGGATTGCAGCGAATTATAAATGACTTCCCTTGGTAATCTATCTGCTCCCAAAAATAAAATAAGAAAAAGAACAGAACATAGCTTCATGGATGTGTTTCTGCTAAGAAGTATCATATTTTGTGGCAGTATAAGCTTCGGGTGAATTTTTAAAGCCTGATCTGTCTTACACCATGTGGCAGCATCTCCTGATCTTTGTCTCTAATCAGATAAATCGTGAGAACGAGAGCATACTGTAGCTACCTCTGCAGAATTGAAATAGACGGGCTCCTTTGTCATTCCTCTTGTAGGTGCTTTTGTACATGCCTTTGGGGTCTGAAAAGAAGTCTGTTTCTGTTAAACAAGGTCCAAAACTTAAAGCCAAGATGGTAGCATAGTTTCCTTAGTTGTATAGTAACTTAATATTGTCTTTGACTTTGGATATTAACACGGTTTGTTGTAATTACCAAAAACCATTAATTGACCTGGCTGTAACTAGTTGAAGATCTTCGTCGTATCCTATGGCTGCCAATTCCATGATATTGTGCATCCCACCGGGTAGAATGGATCCTGATAGATAGCCACATCTGTTTGAATTCTTTTTTTTCTACACCTTGGCAAGAAATGTATAGAGAACATGAAAAAAAAATTGAAAGGTCTGTCTCAGTTTCAGATGTTTTGCAGTGTGAAATGGGTCAAACTTTGGGCTGAAAGACATAAGTAATGTAAAAAAAGACAGTCAGTTCAGGTTTTTAAGCAAGAAATGCTTTTATAGGCAGTTTTTCTTAGATGAAAAGAAAAATGTTTAGGTGTTGTAGAATTATATATAAACCACTTCAGAGGGATCAGACAGCTTTTCCTCTGAGCAGTGATTTTACCTCAGCCGTTTTGTTTTATGATCCATGAAATTGCAAAGTAGGCTTAAATTCATGTTGGGAGGAAGGGCACTGACTCCAACCACTCTTCCTTCTGCTCTGTTGTTTTCCAGTCATCCAGGGTTCACATAACCAGGGCTGTGCTGGAGCAGTTTCTTTCCTTCGCCAAGTACCTGGATGGGTTGACTCATGGAGCCCCACTGTTGAAGCAACTCTGCGACCACATTCTATTCAATGCTGCTATCTGGATTCATACTCCAGCGAAGGTGCGCCAGGGCAAGGAATAGTCCCATCTGGGGGAGTGTGACACTTCCAGTGCAGAGCTGGCTTCCCCCCTAACACTTTCCACAAACACAGAGTATAATTACAATGTCTTCTATAATATACCATCACAAAGACTGAAGTACAGTGGGTACTGTAAGATATGGAAATATCTATGGAAATTCTGAAAGGGTTGAATGTTTCCTGTCATACTTTGTGCAAAAAAAAGATCTGAAGTTTCTGAGAATCTTAAATGGTAAATTTTCTCTTGCTGATAATACCCATGAAATCTGGATAAAAATATCAAAGGAACCTATAATTGGTGTAAAAATAAATTTGGCTCAGCGTACACTGCATGTGGCAGTTTATTAATAAGTAAACAAATAAATAAGGTGGGATTTGTTTTTTACTGCTGCAAATATTAAACGTAATTCATCTGTGGTTTTTGACATCTTCAACCAAGCTTTCTGTTTTGAAGTCTTTGGGGGGGGGGGGATGTTTGAACTCAACAAACAGCATAGGGATTTAATACACTATAGGTACTTTAATTACTGCACTGTGGGAAGGGCTCTTATTCATCCTAAATGACATGTCAGTCTTGATTTCTCCCATAAGTTCATTTTAAGCTCAAAGTCAAGTCAAGTGGTTTCCATCCAGTAATCAAAATTTATTTCAAATACACTGGTTTGAAAAAACCCAAACTTATTTTTTAAACTGCAAAATAGCATTCTTTTAAAGTCTTTAGTCTTTGTAGTCTTTCTCTATGCCTATGCTTTCCTGTATTATACTTGATAGTCAATTATATTATAAACTGAAATGTTGACTTTAAAAGCTAATTTATTTTATGTGCTACTGTACCACTTTTAGATGTTTTTGTGTATTAGATTCACTGTTTGTTTCCACAAGACATCTAAGATTTCCAGCACCAAAGGACGTCCTTTGGTCTGCTTTTAAAAAAGGTCTAAGGATTTTCAGAAAAAAAAGCCGAAATGCCTAATGAATTAAAACTGCTGTGAATTCCTTGTTAAAACCTCTTCCTAATTACCAAGGACATTTAATCCAAGAAGAGCATCCCAGAACTGGGCATGTATCTACATCTCGCAGGGACAATTACAGTCTTGTTTTCTGGGAGGTCAGGAGTAGCTGGCTGCTCTGCAGACTGCACCTGCAGGAAAGAGAATCCAGTAGTGATCATCTGGAGCTTTTGTTCTGTTTAGAACATTTCTAATGGAAGGTAGTGCAAACAAATGACTGTACTGGATACCAAATCTCCGATGGCTGATAAACAACACACTTTGGCCATTGCATTCAGTGAAAAAATAACAGCCTTTGCAAACATTCCTTTACAAAAAGGGGATATCTCAGTGAGATTATAACAATGCCGAGCTTTGTGCTTGGCATGAGCCTGTAAAGAGTCATCTAAGAGTTGCACTTATTTGTTTATGCTGATGGGAAGCAAGAGAAAGGATGATTTTTCTCATGCCAATTAAGGTGATCTGGCTGACGCATTCTCCATCCTTTGGTTTCCCAGGTTCAGCTGTCCTTGTACACTTATTTATCTGCGGAGTTCATTGGCACCGCTACCATCTACAGCACCATCCGCAGGGTGGGCACGGTGTTGCAGCTGATGCATACTCTGAAGTACTATTACTGGGCCATCAATCCTGTGGACAGCAGTGGAATAACACCTAAAGGGCTGGGTAAGTCACAGCAATTACAACAGAAAACAAGATCATATCAGACAAGGGACTGTTCAGTTAAATGCACTCATCCGCCTGCTAACAGCTGATTGATTAGGCCTTCAGCATATTTCCCCAGGAATTGGGAATTTACACTATAAGGGGTGCTGGCAGAAAAAAACCCAGGCTGTTTTTCTGATTTACTTTAAAGTGTCAGAATGGGGATGGGGATTTTTTTTTTGCTGTTGCAGCTTTAAAGTTGGAAAGATTTTGTTAGCTTTGAAAGCGTGTCACTGGGAATATGCATTGGTTCTGTACTTCCTCACTGAATTGTCCTAGAACCATGAGTTGCGCTTGTCAGAAGTGAGGACAGTTGCCTTGATTGTCAACGACAGGGCAGCAAGCTAGTCATATCATTAGTGCCACTTCTCAGGAGGCGGGGATGTGATTTCATTCTATTTTGAATAAGAAGAAAAATGAGTGGCATTCTCTTTCTCTGAGGCAACAGTACATCAAAAGCCAAGTAGCTCTGGAAATGAAAATACCCTTGCACCACTGTTCTTTTCTTTCTTCCTTTTTTGGGTTAAATAAATTACTCTGATGGTTTTTGACAGTGCTGAAGCCTTGTGTTTTTTTCTTCTTCTTTTGTTCCTGTTTGCAACACGTTCATCCTAGTTTGCAGAAAGATGTTTTTGCAGTACTGCGTAATTCACTACAGTGTAACACAGGGGTCCAGCGCCTGTGCATGTGGTACCTGCTTGTATCGATCTCCGTGCTTTTCGTTTGTCCTTGGGAACTTACAGAATGTGCCTTCCAAAAAAAACAAAGACAGAAGGGAGAAAAGCCCTTTCAGATTCTGTAGTTTCATTATTTCATGATGTGAAGGTGTATTGGGAAAAACAGTGATAAGCTTGTATATGGGCAAAATCTATAAAACCCTTCAAGTAAACTGGAAATCCCCTTTCATCTGGTGTACAAAATGAACAGTAATTTTAAGAGAGATTGAGAATTTTCTGGCACCTCTGTGAGCCTTCTTATTTGTTTTATAACATTTTGTGCATTCATATTTGAAAACCTTTAGAGCAATGAAAGCCACTTCTGTTTCAGAGTAAAGTCTAGTTTTCATGCAAAAAAATAAACAGAAGGTCCAGAAATCCGATTTGGTCATATTCACGACAGCATTAGAAATTCTTAGACTGAGGTGTCTGAGAAACTCCCTGACTACAGCTTCCATAAATCTATTTTGTGTTGTACTCTTTACAGGTGTGTGTGGGTTTCAGGAGTTCTTCTGGGAAGATATTTAACAACTTTAACAAACTAAGCCTTGGAATAAAATAACTGCACTGCAGAAATCAAATGAATCATTATTTATCATTACCGTTTATACTGTACAATTGCTGACTTTTCCCAACTGAGACAATTGAAGTCCTTGTTCTACCTTTTGCTCTAGAACTCCTTATAATCTGTGGATTTAAAGTTTGATTTTGCTCCTAATTACAGAAAAAAAATAGTGATAATGAGAAGCAAGTCTAGTACTAAGAGTGACAAAGCCTGATTTTACACTCTAATGATTCCAGGCAGTAAGCTTGAGCTGTCACATAGCTGTAGATGCTTGTGATCGATGGCTGATTCCAGTCTTTGAAGCAGTGATGTGAAAAAACAAGACCACAGAGGGGATCTTCACTCTGTTCAGTTTCATCATTAAAGCGAAGCCAGTCAGGTGTGTTTAAAATTCAGGCCTCAGTATTGAAGGTAATGAAACTAATGAAAATGATTCTGCCGTCATTTGTTTTTATTGACTTCACATGTATTGCTAATGATTTCTTGTAAACAAAGGCAAAGCGTATGAAAAATGTTGACAGTTTTTACTGAGTGGACTGATGCACATTAACCAAAGATTTGAAAAAGAGCAAGGGATTTTTGGTATTCCTTGTTGGTGAATATTAATCAAGAAAAAAATGTATGCCTAATGTTCATAAGTTTATCTGTGCTGTCATGCACAAGCCACAATTTTCTCTCTTTGCAACATAAGAAAAATCTGTTTATTGAGATTTGATTGGAATCTCATGTTTTATAAGACATATAGGCAGTTGCCAATCGAGGTTCTTTCAGATATAACAGTTTTATGAAGGTATTTACTATATAAGATATGTTTGCACAGAGGATCTCAAGTTTTCTTAAAGCATGGTTTTAAATTATATTAAAATATTTTTGGATTATAACTAAGAGTTCCAGTGATTTGGATTTGTTGAATCAGCGGCTCTGTCAGAAAGGCAGGACATTTGCGAAGTGAGGCCTGTGTTTGGTGATGCCTTTCTCCATTGCCTTGTCTCCATTTAGACAAGCAGCCAGATCATATAGTCATTTACCAGAGCCATGTGTCACATAGTCTGCTCTGCCAAGAATAACATGCTGATGGATTATGCAGCAGAACGGAGGAATTTAATTCAGTTGGTGGAAGACTTGAAGCTGCCATCTGATAGTGATAAGACTTTGATGTACAGTGCTCAAGAGTTTAAGTTGTGGTTTCCATGCATTAATAAAGAGATTTTTCTTCTTTTGCTGTTCATTTAATCGCCATATAAGACAAATGATTTTTGTACTTCCTTCCACGCATTTAACAATGAAAAATATAATTTGTCTGCATGTAGAAAAGGTTGGAATCGACTTGAAATGGATCTTCAGCCCATCATGGAAATCATGATTTAAATCCTGGACTTTCAGAGTTTTGATTTACACTAGATCTTGGTTCAGGTCTCTGGTGTGGTGATTGTGTGAGTTACAGAGCGGGTGTCTCCAAATATCATAAGAATCCTCTTACATGAAAAAGATGTTCAAGGCCAGGAGGAGAAAGTTCAAGGTGAGGTTAACCACACTGGCTTCAATTCCACCACTCATCATACTAATGCATTATATGGAGGTTTAACAGAGGTAGAAGATCTAGAGGAAGACTTATGACTTCCCCAGCGTAAACTTTAGCTCTTATTTACTCTCTTCTGTATTTTTATCCTTCTAAGGAGTGGACTTGTTGCCTCAATGATATTTCCTCTGATCTACAGTCTATCTTTAAAGCCCATTTCTTCAATGAAAAGTGTTGAGTTCTGACACTATGAGTACACTTTCTTGGGTGATCCATGTGTTGAACACATATTTTGTTTGTATGTTAATGCTGTGTGCATCACAGAATTATAAATTCTGTTTTCTGTGCTTTCCTTTTGGGTCACAAAAAACTTGTCTTTGTCTCATCCTGTTTCCCAGTTTAAAATCTTGGGAATCTTATATGATCAGGTTAGCTACTTTTCCCTACAAGTCTCTCAGCCATTGAGTGTTTTTTTTTTCCTTGATCAATCGCTCCGCCTCAGTTTGAGGGAAGCAGGTCAAATAATTCTAGACCCTGTTTTAATCCGCATTTCAGCCTTGCATTTTACAAATTGATATATGTATATGTGTAAATGGTTGGGCATTTTTTCCCTATTTGATGTCCCAAGAATAATCCTTTTAACAGTGTGGTGGTGTCCTTATTCTAAGATAACCGTACGTGCAGCATTTCAGATAAATATGGACAATAGTGATAACTGAGTGGCTCAACAAGTCAAGGTGCTAATTCTATGATTACAGGTTTGAACCTGGGTCATGTCACTATCTTTCTGTGACCAGATTCCCCAAGTGGTGGCTCTCAATTGGCTGAGCACTGCTGTGAGAGTAAAGTGGAATTAGTCAGCCAGAGCTCTCTACTGTGGCTCTGAGCGACAGTAGTGGTCACTGTGGCCTCCAGACACTTGCATGCATAACGTGCTGTAGGTGATAGAACTGCCTCTCCTGTAGTCAGTGCTGAATGCTAAGTTTCTTTAAGTAACATGTTTAAAGATGATTGGTTTGAATAGGCATTTTGTTGTAAAATAAATACTGAACCTCTTAACAGTGATCACAGAACACATATAGGAATTTATTCCCTCAGGAATTGAAATTAAGTCCATCACCCTATACTGTACAGTATATGAATGTCAGGCTCAGTCTAAGAAAACATAGTTGTTGAACTTTATCCTTATTGTTCAGATTTAGCTAATTCCTTACACTTGGGCAGTCTATTCAAAGCACTTTACAGGTAATGGGGACTCCCTTACATCACCACCAATGTTGAGTTCCCACCTGGATGATGCAACTGCAGCCAGAGTGCACTAGTACACTCACCACACATCAGTTGTCAGTGGGGAGGAGAACAGAGTAAAGAAGCCAGTTCAAAGTTGGGGAGTATTAGGAAGCCATGATTGGTAAGGGCCAATGGGAAATTTGGCTTGGACACCGGGGTAACATCCCTACCCTTTTCAAGAAAACTCCCTGGGAATTTTAATGACCATGGTGACTCAGGACCTCGGTTTTATGTGTCATCTGAAGGGCAGCTTTTTTACATTATACGTTTTTACAGTATAATGATCCCGTCGCTATACTGGGGCATTAGGACCCACACAGACCAGAACGCTCCCTAGTGGTCCCACTAACACCTCTGCCAGCAATACCCTTAGCTTTCCCAGGAGGTCTCCCATCCAGGTACTGACCAGACTCACACCTGCTGAGCTTCTGTGAGTTGCCAGCTATGAGATCCTCTTGGGGTAGTAAAAGAACTGCTGGCAGTTGAGAAGCAACCATTTATAACATGCACCTTAAATAAAAGTTAACTAAATTTGAAAAAATCCTTTAATAAAATATGGTCTGACTGAGCCTAGAGTAAAGCCTGGAGTAAAAGACATACTGTAAGACTGATGAGTAATCAACAATTTCCCTTTTTTCTGGAACAGAATGAAATATTCTTATTTATGTTCTGCATAGTCTCTAATCTTGTCTCCTTGGGTCCGTTTGCAAGTCCTTTGGTGCAGATTTGGGGTAACCTTACTGCTCAGCAATAAATTGACAACATCCTTGAGCCCAAAGTATTTGTAACTCTGGAAAGCAAGTCTAGAACTGTTGAGTTTTAAGTAGGACAGTACAGGGCCTCTCATTGCTAGGATTAAAATGGGAAAACC